GCCCTGTGGGGGCGCTCAGGGTGGGGGGGGGGGCGGCGGTTGGGGTGGGGATCCCCAGGCTGGGGCTCCTGGCAGCGCTGGGAGGGGGCTGGCAGGGGCAAAAGGGTTAGGCCCTAAAATCATGCAAGGGGGGCCTGGGGCTGAGGACAGACTGACAAGACAGACAGACAAATCCCAATGCCTGGCTCTGGCAGGGGGTGGCAGACGGAGTGTTTAGCACTTGAGACCATGCCTGGTTAGTGGGGACATGCTGGCTCCTGCTGAGTGGAGCTGCTGCCTGAGGCTGCTGTGCCCAGCACACACATGTCTCTGCTCTGTCTTTGTAGAAATACTACCCGCCAGACTTCGATCCTGCTAAGATCCCAAAGCTCAAACTCCCAAAGGACCGACAGTATGTGGTGCGGCTCATGGCCCCCTTCAACATGCGGTAAGAGCGGCTGTACTGGTCGGAAGGAAGCAGCTGTAGAAGAGATGAGTTTGCTTAGGAATTGTTTTGCCTCCATACACTGCAGGGGAGCTGCTGCCAGCAGCCGTTAGAGGTGACACAGACCAAAAACAAAGGGGTGAAGGAGAGGGAAGACAGGCTGTGGGTGATTCGGGGGTTGTTTGAAGAGCAGGTACTGAATTTCCAAAGGAGAAAATAACCATTGCTCAGAACCTGAGCTGACATGGCCCAAAAATCACTTGGACTTTTCTTGGTCTGTTTGTTCCCTTTTTTCAACGTGTTATGGACTTTTCTTTCTCCTCTTCTAGATGCAAGACGTGTGGTGAATACATCTATAAGGGGAAGAAGTTTAACGCCCGTAAGGAGACTGTTCAGAATGAGGTGTACCTGGGACTCCCCATCTTCCGCTTCTACATCAAGTGCACACGTTGCCTGGCAGAGATCACTTTCAAGGTGAAATACATTCTGTATTTTCTGTGCTTTCACTTTCTGGGGAGGCTGTAGACCTGACTGGGTGCTAATCCCACGGGAAAGGCGTGTCCCAGCAAAGACCTAGTTTGAGCATGTGCGTTTTTGGTGCATCTTCTCTTTCCATGGCTGTTTGTAGTTCTGAAATGTCTTGCCCATCCGTGGGCTGCAGCACATTAGCTGGAGCAGAACAAGACGCCATGGACAATTGTCTGCTCTGTGATGTGAATTAAACTAGGAAACACTTGCATGTGGCTCTGGAAGCAGCCACAGGATGGCTGGAGCAGGATTGCCCCAGTACAATGATTTTGTTGTCTTTTTTCTTCCTTAGACAGATCCTGAGAACACAGACTACACTATGGAGCATGGTGCCACTCGCAACTTCCAAGCTGAGAAGCTCTTGGAGGAGGAGGAGAAAAGAATGCAGAAGGAGAGGGAAGAGGAAGAGCTCAACAATCCCATGAAGGTACGAGAATGTGCCCTTCTCTGCAGAAGACAAACCTCTCTCCTGCCTTGGCTGGCTTTCCCCAGCAAAGCAGGTGACTATGTAACCGTAAGTGTAGTTCTTCAGGCTCCCGAGATATTGCTGTGCTCTGGACGGGCAGGAGTCAACTCTCTGCCCTCAGGAGGTTTCCTCTTGTGCTGGAACTTGTGACAGGCTGCATCCTGCCCCAGTTTTTCCTGTCCTATTAAGACCCCAAAATGAGGATGATTATGATCCTCTCAGTGCTTCCTACCCTGTACTGAGTGGGGAGGCCATGTTCAAGATTCCTGGCAGGCTCTGCTACCTCACATAAGTCCGGCTTCCCTCTGGTCACCCAGGTCCTGGAGAATCGAACCAAGGACTCCAAGTTGGAGATGGAGGTCCTGGAGAACCTGCAGGAGCTGAAGGAACTCAACCAGCGCCAGGCAAACGTGGACTTTGAGGCCATGCTGAAGCAGTATAAGGAGTACGAGGAGGAGCAGAAGCGCAAGGAGCAAGAGGAGGATGAGCAAGAGATTAAGTGAGTGGGCTGGAAGCATTCACGGGCACGTGAAATCAGCCATGCTGGCCCTGGCCAGGCAGGGCTGCATCTCACCCTTTCCTCAGCACCCTGAGAGGGCCCTGCCTGAGGGCCTTGAGTTCATAGGAGTTATGTGGGTGGGATGTAGTCCTGAGTGGGCTGTGAGGAGATTGGGGACAGTTTGTCATGGCAAAAAGCATTTAGGGAGGCAGAGCGGTTTTGGTATCACTGGCCCATCTGGTGGGGGTGATCCAGGCTGCTGCAGGAGCCTGACTCCCCCTGAGAAGAGTCCTGGTGTGGAGAGAGAGTTCCTGGCTGAGGCTGCAGGGATCAGTGCTGTCAATATTCAGGAATTGCTTCAACGTGACTTCTTAAAAAGTACCCGAGAAGGTGGATCCCATTGCACTGCTGCTGAGTTCCAGCTCCCCTAAAGCAAACAGTGCAGGCACGGTGCACGGCCAGCGCGGCGGTGGAACGCAGCCAGCTCTAACCCTCTGCGCCCGACCTCTCTCCTTGCAGAGCTATGCTGGAGCAGGCCCAGAACCAGCGGCTGCTGGTAGACTCCGACTCTGATGAAGAGCCTGCAAAATCACGCACGAAGCCTGTGGCAAAAATTAAACCTACGGACATCTTGCAAGAGGTGAGTGGGGGCAGAGGCTCTTCCGCCCACTGCACCTCTTCCCCCAAACCAAATCTGCTGTCCCTGGCTGCGTGTTGTTCCTTCTTTCCCTGCGATGCTGGCGCCCTAATGCCCGTCACGCATGAGCAGCTTAGAAAGCCTGTGTCCCTGTGCACCGAGCTGAAAGGAGACAGGGATCAGTTGGTGGTTTTAGACCATGTCTGCTGACAAAGGCTGGGAGGGAGCTGCCCCCTTCCTCACTCAGGATGTGGCTGCCCTTTCAGCTTGAAAAGGACAGGCTTGCTTATGCCTTGGTCATACTTCAGGCACAATTTCATAGAATTGTTTAGGTTGGAAAAGCCCTTTAAGATCATCAAGCCTAACCGTTCCCCTTCCCCTGCCAC